TTGGACCTGTGCTTCTGGAGTTGGACGCTGGAGTACTGCTGGAGCACTGTTGATGCCCACCACATTTAACAAGTCAACTGATCAGTCAACTCCAGTCAAAACCTTCCAAAAAAAAAAAAAAAAAAATCCCAATTTTTTAATTGGGTGGGTAAGGTCGAAACGCCTCTCCTAGGGTTTCGCTCCGGTATATTTACTTTTATCCCTTTTATCGCTTTTGTAGTGATTTTTAGTCTTTAATTGTGTAGAAATTATGTTTTAGGTTTATTACTGCTTTTAAATTGATTGAATTGTTGTATTGTGTTTGTGCTGAAAATTTATTATTTATTTGTGCTTATACGGAAGAATAAGGGGTTTGAAGTTGAGTTTGGTGCTCATTAATACTCCCCACGTGTTCGTGCTAGTTGCTCCGTATATTTGTAGCCTTATAAATATTTAAATTGTTTTTCAGCGAAATTTACATTTTCTTTTGTTGCTTATTTTTCTCTGTGAAAATGTCTGCTTATAATCAGTATGGTATGGCTCCATTTAATGGAAAATCTGATTTTAACATTTGGAAGCAAAAAATTAAATGTATTTTAATACAACAAAAATGTTTTAAAGCAGTTGGCGAAACCTATTTAATTTCTGACACAGAAGAGAAAAGGGCTGAAATGAATGAAAATGCATGTTCTGTGATTTATTTGAACTTATCTGACTCTGTGATTAGAAAAGTTGGAATTTTAGAAAGTGCTAAAGTTCTTTGGAATAAATTAAATGAACTGTATACTGAGACCTCTTTGCCTAACCGGATATTTTTACTTGAAAAGTTCTTCAAATTTAGACTAGATATGTCTATAGATATTGAAGAAAATCTAGATGTTTTTACCAAACTTATTTCAGATATTAAGTTGTGTGGTGATAAACATATAGATGATTATTCCCCTATTGCTCTTTTAAATGCTATTCCTGATTCCTTTAGTGATGTGAAATCTGCTATTAAGTATGGTAGAGATAATGTGACTCTTGACATTGTGGTAAATGGTCTTAAGAGTAAGGAATTAGATTTAAAACAGATGGGAGAGGGTAGAAAATCCGAGGAAGTTATGCATGTGAGGGGTAGAGAAAATAATAGTAGACGACATAGATCTAAGTCTAGGTCTAATTCGAGGCGTTGCTATTATTGTCATGAACCTGGTCATTTCATAAGAGACTGTCCTAAATCTAAGAAAAATGAGCATAGTGAGCATGCTAATTTGACTACGTGTGAAGATGATTTAGGTGATGTTTTTATGATGAAAAATCTATGTGATTATGACTATTTGAGTTCTGTGATATCTGATTCTTTGGGTAAATCAGATTGGGTGGTAGATTCTGGTTGTACTTTTCATATGTCCCCTTTGAAAAATGTTTTTTCAAACTATAGAGAGATTGAACATGGCTTTGTGTCTTTAGCAAATAAGAAGAAATGCAATGTGCTAGGAATAGGAGATGTGTGCCTTAGGTTCTCTTCTGGTTATGTGCTTACTTTGAAGAATGTTAGGCATGTTCCTGAGCTGTGCTGTAATTTGCTATCTTGTGCTTCTCTTGAAAATAAGGGTTTGAAGGGAAAATGGGGAAAGGGAATCATGAAAGTTGTGAAGGGTTGTTTAGTTGTTTTCAAAGCTGAGATGAAAAACAACTTGTATGTTTGTCATGCTGAACCCGTACTTGATTCTGTGAATTGTGTGCAACCCTGTGTGCTAGGAAAACAGTCTAGAGTTGGTTTTCCTGATCTACCTAAGTGTACTGATGTACTTGATTGTATTCAAGCTGACTTGTGGGATCCTTATGGTGTTTCCACTCATGGTGGGAAAAATTATTTTCTGACGTTGATTGATGATTTTTCAAAGAAAGTGTGGGTTTTGTTGATTGAGAATAAATCTGAAGTTTTTGATAAGTTTAAAAACTGGAAAACCCTTGTTGAAAAACAAACCGGTAAGAAAATTAATTTTTTAAGGACCACTGTCAGTTTTGATTTCTGTGATGATCAGCTTGGTGATTTATGTGATACTTGGGGTATTTCTATGCATAAATCTGTTCCCTCCACACCCCAACCGGATGGGGTTGCTGAGAGGATGGTTAGAACTTTATTAGAGAGGGTGAGGGCTATGTTAGCTTCATCTGGGCTCTCTAATAAGTTCTGGGGGGGAAGCTATTTGTTATGCTGTTGATTTGATTAATCTGTCCCCGTCTGTTCCCTTAGGAGGGAAATGCCCTGAATCTGTGTTCACGGGCAAACCACTTAACTTGCCAAATTTGAGAGTGTTTGGTTGTGCTGCTTATGTGAATCGTGTGAATGATAAATCTGAACCTAGGACTAAGGAATATGTTTTCTTAGGATATCATGATTGCATGAAAGGTTATAGGCTTTGGTGTAGGAGTGAAACTTGCTTCAATGTGTTGATGAGTAGAAATGTCATTTTTGTTGAAAATGAATTTCCTTGCCTGCTTGTTTCTCCTGATGTTGCTCCAAATGAGGTGGAGCATTTGCCTGATGTTCATTCTGATTTACTTGTTGAAACCGAACCCAAATTTGTGGATGAAAATGTTTTTCATGGTGAAAATAAAGAAAATAATATTTCTATTAAGGTGGAGCATGATATGAATGTTATGTGCAATATGCTTGAGTTGCGTGATTGCCATGTTATTAGAGATAGAAACAATAGGAAGCATGTGAGAAATGATATGTGCAATGTGTTTGACTATATTTCCTCTGAGTCTGCTTTAAATGTGCTTAATTCTCTTTTAATTAAAATTTTTGTGATATTTGGTATGCTATTTTCTTTGTGTTTTGAAAATGTGATACCATGTGATTATGTGAGCTCCGTCTGTGCTAGTTATAGAAATAATATTGTTTCTTTTATTTTCTTTGTACTTGCTTTGTGTGGTTGTTGGATTAGTTGGAATCCCCAACTTCTCCCGGATGCTTGCTTGCGTGGTCTATTAACATGTGTTGTGCTTGTTAATAGTTTTGTGATGGTTTTGGTTCTGAACTCGAGGACCGATTGGTAGAGTTCAGTCCATCGTGAAGTGGGTTTGCACGGTAAGCTTGGTCCGAAAGGGAACTTTGGTTCTCATCTATTACTTGTATGATCGCAATGATGTACTTGTAATGGTTCAGCGATGATGAGTCTCCTCACAACCGTGTATTTGTTACTCTACACCACCTAGGACCAATAAGGTGGAGAATGTTGGAGGTATTGGTCCTACCAAGGCCTCCCTTCCACTTATTATGTTAAGGCCTGCACCCTATGTTTAGCCATCTCTCTTATATCTCTTGTGACCATACTCCTTGGCCAGTTGTATTATCGTTGCCTCCTAATAATTCAGTTTTTTTGGGTCTGTGGCCTTACCTATCCATTGCAGCTTGTCTGTTGGTGTTTTGTCTTGTATTCCCTACCTTGATAATTGAGGACATTTCCTCTATTATATTAACAAGCTAGCAACTTCTTTCAGTGAGGTGTGGTGCGGACAATACAGTGAGGTGTGAGTGAGTGTTTGGCTTGAGTCTTCTTCTTTGAGAGAGTTTCCTCTTGGTGAGTGAAAGCTTGAGAGGTAAGAGAGAAAAGGCTAGAACTAGGTGAGTGGAGTGGCTAAACAATCCTGGGTGGTGTGTGTGAGTTGTTTTGGTTGGAGACCTGAGCTGAAATACACACCCAACAACTATTTACTTCTAAAAGGTATTTCATTGTTTAAACAACCCCATCGACGTACATTTAACCATTTAAAATAGAGCATGGCATCTTAGCCCTTTTTGAGTAAACAGTGCTCCAAATCTACGAGCCCCTTTGGTGACCCTATTTCCAGCTCATCAGACTTATCAGCTAGGTTTTTCACCTAACACATAACTTTTGATTTCGCACGCTAAAGTGTGGAATAAGCAGAAAAAGTAAGGCGATGAAGCAGTACAGGCGAGCTTCTCAATGGAGTAAGATTGATCCCAGTTTTACCCAGGCCCCCCAATGCCCCCCTCCCCTGACGCCCCCTGGGGTATGACTAAAGTTATTGTAGAGGATCATTTAACTCTTTTTTCATATAATTTATTTTATTTTATTTATTAATAACAAATAATTTAATTGTTTTTTAATGAATCAGCGGAAACATCCAATACAACAACTTCAGCCAGAACTTTATAAACTTCAGTAGAATCAACAAATTCAGCCAAATTTAGTGTTAGCAAACGGGCTCTACTTCTACAAATGTCAACATGGTTTTCGAAACCCAATCTTTTGTTAAAACCCATCTACTCAAAACCTTTCCACAGTAACCTTCTTATGTCAAAACTTACCGCCTTTGTTTCTCATTCAACTTTGATGGATAATTTCTTTGACATTCCTCATCCCTTCCTAGATATTTTCAAACTTAAGAGTTAAAACTCCCGCATCTTGGCATGAATTATGAGCCTTGCAACCGCATAAGTTACATAAGATGATAACTGGTAACTCCTTATAGGCTCTCCTCACCATTTACACCATACAAGTTTGAGCTCCCGTTAATGGTGTCCTAAGCTAGCTATTCTAGAGAGGAGGAGGAGAAGTGTAGGGGAAGAAAGGGACCCCAAAACATAGAGGAAACCTCCTATTTACAAGAAAGAGGGAAAAGGAATAAAATCTAACCTAATAGGCCAAAACGGGCCAAACGGGCCTTGTGGATCGGGCCCCACGTGGGGATGGTGCGTCGGGCTCATGAATAGTAATATACTGTGATAATATATCCCAACAATGTAATATGAAATTTGATAAATTTACTTCAATTTCTCCTTAAACAATTTAAAAAGTGATATTGTTTAGTATTAGTATGGTACCTCCCGTTTGAAAATAAAATCGCACTGAACGGCTTTAGGTTTAAAACCGAACCGAACTAAATCAAATCGCTTCAATAGTCATGTACGAATACGAGTTCCACAAAATATTGGACTGGACCTTGCCCATCCCTAGATTTTGTAGTCTCAAAACAAATATTTTTGTCCAGCCCAACAACCTAGCGGCCCGAGAATAACAAAAGCTTGAGTAATGGAGTAATACGGACTCTGGTGGCGGAAACTTCCGTGTTCGCGGGTCAGCCGAACAAGGAGCACCCATCGCCAATCTGTTCGACATCGACGAACGCCAACTCACAAGTCACGTCGCCGACCGCCCTACTGCCGGCCCTTGGCCGCTTGCCGCCTGCCGCCGCCCGCCTGCCGCCTGCCGCCTGCCGCCTGCCGCCTTCCGCCGTGTGCCCCTCCCTGCCGATTGCGTACTGCGCTTCGGCTAATCGACTAATCGTCCCTTCTCACCTTAATTCATCTGCGGCTTCAGGCTTCACACCTTCACCGCTCCAGCCTTCAGGTACAAAGGTGCTCCTCCAGACAAAATCTTTTAGAATTTTTAAACTTTTTCTTTTATTGATTAATACTACCTCTTTCCCAATTGAGTTCCCAGTTACGGTGGAACTTTAAAAACTTTGTCGGCGAATTATTCAAAATTTACATTGCTTTGGCACGCAAAGTTAATTTTAATATACTTCATTTCCATATATATTATTCAAATGTTCATACATTATAGGTTTTGTAAATTTAGTTTTTTTTTTAGATATTTGGGGTCAAACTTCCATCTAGAAGACAGTAAAAGTCAAACTATGAACTTAGTTGCTGGATAGGAGTATAATTATTTGATTAGTTCATTAATTGATTTAATTCATAGTTGTTTAATACTTAAAAAATGAATATTGAATAGTTGATAAATAATTAGTTGATATGTTGGCTGTTGTCCTGTAGAGTGTTTTTGTGTTTTTAAATGTTTAAGTAATTTTATGAAGCTATGAGTGATGATGTCGCTTCACAATATTCAGCAAGAAATGTATTCAAGTAATTCTTACGAAATTAAGTCGTTTATTTTTTAAAGATCTTTAAATATGATTATTATTATGCATTTTAGTTTAGACATAAAACTATAAAAGGTCTTGACAATTTTTATTAGGATTAAGCCCACTATAGAATAATAAAATATCCACCCTAGACCTTCAAATAGACAGGACCAGCCCTTGTATGATGTGAACTATATGAAGTACATAATTTATATTACCAAATCCTCTATGTTTCCTCTATCTACCGCAATGCTTTCCGCTATATTTTAATATTTGTATAGCGGGTTTCTGGCTTCCTACCATAATCAGCTATCCGTTATTGATAACACTGTAATCCTTCCTTTTCTTTTAGCTTTCTTTTCTAGGTCCGTGGTCATTCAGGCTTAAATTTACTTTTAATAGTGTGCAACTGTGCATGCTGAATTTCGTTTAAACTTATCTGACAAAACAATAAGAGCACAAAAGAAAAAAACACAGGAAATAGTCCAAAAACAAAGATACATGTTCTTATTCCCTCTTCACAGTGCTTAATGTTAGTAATAAATAATACTGACATTAATTTATATTATCAGTAACTAGTATACCATCTGTGCGATGAACATTATGAAATATTATCCAAAATAATTATTAGCAGCTTTTATAATTAAATATGTAGTATACTGATTAGAATACATAATTATACAGAGTACGGTCGTCAGAAATGACATTATGCCTCAATATGAAATTTGTAGTAACTATATCATCTTAAATTATAATGCAGCTCTATAGTGCAAAATATGGTCAAACATAGAGTAATAAATTATAATAGAACACATTTCTCACACCAAAATAAATTAATATAGGTTTTTGAGCATTTCTTACAATACAGGCTTTGAAACACTTATATATAACAATCAAAGTGTAAAAACTAATAAAATGTAAACTAATTTCATTTATTGCATGCAATAAATGGTCAATAATTATTTTTGTTTTAAATATTATGTGCAAGAGAAAACTAACAAAATAATGGAATTTATAAGCCATTGATTGTTAACCTCAAAAGACATTGATTACATTTTGAAGTTAATTTATCAAGAATACATAAAGTTCACCCAAAATGTTAAACTAATTTTTTTCGTTTCTTTAGATATCGACCACATGAATCACACCTCACTACTTTTTGCTAATGTTTGTAGTTCAATGGATTAGAAATAGATATGAGGCTCTTTTTTGAGTCAATGTCATGGATTAGTAATTCATGTGCTATATCTCATATTATTTTTATATGATATGTTACTGTCAAATGTTGCACATGGCTTCTTGTCGCCTTATTGTTGCCAAGACGCTCATCTAGTCGTATAGGTGGAAAGGCGGTTTGCTTGCGCGGTGCGCCTTGACTTGCCTAGATGCCATGAAAACCTTTAATGTGTTTCAGACTTTCAGATATCCAAGTTTGACCATTTCTTTTTGTCTTTTTGTTTTTGTTTTTATTTTCCCCTGTGTTTGTTATGTGGTATGTAGGCCTGTCAATGGGTCGGGTCTAGACCCGGATCCGATCTGAATCCGGCACTTTATTTGAGGGTATGGGTCTAATTTTAGAATCGTTTCCCGGATCCGTATCCGAACCTGTTACATGATAAAGAAAATGGGTCGGATATGGATTTTTAAGTTCCGGCCCGTTTTGGACCCGACCCGTGATGATATAATTATAGTTATAATTTATTACATACACACACAATATGCACAAAAATATTTAAACATAAAATAAGGAAAATAATCAAATATAAAAAATGTTTTAATATTTGTATGCTTATTTAGTGGTAGTCCCACTATAATGGGATTTTCGCTAATGAGTTAGTGCTCTAGGTTCTCTATGAGTTCACTAATATACATATAACATACTCCTTATCATGGTTCTAAAACTCAGAAAAGTCGGCCACCTGGGCGCCGGAAATTCGCTAGGCGCCTTCCTGTTGTAGAGATTTTCTGATAATCGCTCCTATAGTCACTCCCTCGACTAATCCGCCACCGAGACCGAGTAATCGCCGGAAAAGCGCCCGCCTAGGAAGAAAGTTAGTCGCGCGAGACCTTTTAAACAATAGCTGGGTTTAATGACTTTTTTACCGATGACGAGGGTGCCTTTTAAATCTGTTCGCCCAATCCACTAACCAAATTAAAATTAGTGTGCTCTTTCTTTAGTGCCCAGCCCTAAACGGAACTTTCTTCTCTTCGATGGAACGGCGGCCGGGTGATGAATCTTCTACTCTTCCATTTCCGGCGCTTCTTTGTTGAGTATTGAATCTGCTTCTCCACTCTCTGGTGTCAAGCAGTCCAGAGGTAAAGAAATTTTCATTAAAATGTTATTCATGGGTTGTATTTTATGTGCTTGGAAGTCTGGAACTGTTGGTAAGCAAGGGACTGGATATGAACTCTTTGGTTATCATTGGAGACCCCACGCTTATAGGGCAAGTGGGCAACAATCATGGATTAATATGAGTTCTTATTTATCCCCCAATCATTTGAACCTCATACATAGATTTTTTTATAATTTTATTAGACATCCTATTAGCTCTGCAATGAGAAACCTTTTAATTAGTTCTGGGTTTTATTGTGTTACACAAAGGAAGATGAATTGAAATATAAAAGGTTGTGTAGTTGTACAGAACAGTGAAAAAATGCATCCTCTGAAGCATTCCCGTAGTTAAACAAGTGATGCCTGACATGATTAGAAACAAATTGTACTATCCTTTCTTCTTCATATATTGACATGCCATATCTATTTAAACATTAGTCTTTGACATTTATCATGTCTTTTAGATTATAAATGAAGTGTGACTCATGCGATAATTTGTATGTGCTGGGAGTTGGGGTACTTTCGAAACATGTTAATGAGTGACCAAGTCAAACGTTTAAAGCTCCATTACTATAAAGAGGGCATAATGGAACTGTTTTTGGTTGTTTCACCTAGTGAAAGAACTCTTAACGAGTTTTTTTGTAGACACCTTGCCTGACTAAATTTAGTTCGGTGTTGCATTTAGCCATTTAGGTTACATGTTTTGTAGGGATTATATGCACATAAGGTGTCGGTATTGCTAGTTATTGTCTAAATGGAAGGTCCGAATGTGTATATCTTTAGGATGCCAAGAAGCACACTACAAGATTGCTTTTTCATATGAGTACAATGGTAATTTATCTACTTGATTAATGCCGGATATTCTAGATTTGAGTAGTATTCACCTGTGACCTGTGTGGTGCACAGAACAATTATTTGTTCCTATTTCAATTCTTTCTATAGCTATTTATATGATTGTAAGCATTTAAGCTCATTGATTATACACTGGTCCCTTCTACATTAGGAAACACTACAAACTGTTTTCTCTCTAAAAAAACCAAGAACTGAGAAAACACAGGGTTCAATATCAACCACATAAACACACTTTTATTAATAACCGTACCACCTTCTCTTGTCCCAAACTTAGGGGGACGGAGGTAGTATATAATTATGTATATAATTATATATAATATATTATAAATTTATATAATGTGCGACTAGTCGCCTAATTATCGCCTAGGCGGGCGCCTTGTCGCTTAGGCGATATGGCGGTCGGCTGGCGCCGCGACTCGCCTTACCGCCGCGACAAGTATGATTATTCCCCTTCATTCTATATATGCTACCCGTACATTTACTACTCTTATTATTATTATTATTAACTTCAGCCTATGTTCCTATCATAAGCTGAGGTTGGTGTATTGCAGCATTTAAGCAATCATTTGTACTAGTGAATGTAGAGATTTCCAGTTCTTGTTGAGAGTAACAATCTATTTTGCCGTAGTAGCCTTGTAGGTAAATGTCCAGGCGAACGTTGTACAATTTTCTGTGCTCCACTAGCCGCAACTTGTAGAGCTCAATGGCACAATCAACCTCGCTTCTTGTATTGGGAACTGTAGGGAGAAATAGCCTCTGGAATATCTACCTTAAAAGTACAAGACTCGGTTCATTGTCGTTCAGATACAAGTACACTCAACAAAGAGCACTGTCAAACTCACACCCCACAAACGGTGAAGATCCAATTTTGCCTGTTCTAATCATAGGCGCGGGACCTGTTGGACTTGCTCTCTCTGTACTCCTCACCAAATTAGGTACTCATCTCCCCCTTTTGAGCATTGCAAAAATCCCGTGTTTTCAATACTATGATTTTAGTCGATCTACTTGTTATCTATTTTATGTAAACCCAAAGTAGATTTTCATTGCAAAAGTTGCTTAGTCACTTCATCAGGTTTGTATTTCGGGCTTTGATTTACTCATCTCATTCATTGTTTTTTAGGTGTGAAATGTGCAGTCTTGGAGAAGAACAAGGACTTCTCTAGGCATCCTCAAGCCCATTTTATTAACAATAGATCAATGGAGGTTGGATTTTATTGTGTAGAATGTGCTTTATTGTATTGTCTCATTATTCAACTGAGGACTTTTTGTGGATTGAAAAAGCATTTTTTTAACGCAGAGTTTGTTTATAGGTTTTTCGAAAAATGGATGGCCTAGCAGAAGAGGTTTTGAGGTCTCAACCGCCAGTGGAGTTTTGGCAGAAGTTCATTTACTGTACTTCTCTTACTGGTTCTATTATTGGCTCTGTTGATCATATGCGATCAGAAGGTATAATATAGTACCGAGCAGCCATATTTAATAAGTGTTTTAAAGGTACAACTGGTGGAAGACAGTTCTTTCATATCTTTTCTTGAGAGTGCTATGCTTTATGCACTTCCGTATACTTCTCTTTTATTCAGATTTCGATCATGTTGTGAGCCCCGTCTCTGTTGCACACTTTTCACAGTACAAATTGACCAGATTGATGTGTGAGCAGCTGAAAGAACTTGGATTTCATATTGAGAACAATGAAAGGCGTATAATGCATGATGACTTCGTTTCGGAGAGACAGCTTCAAATGGGGCACGAGTGCATAGCAATACAGCCCAGCAATGATTTTGTTACTGTGAAGGCATCTTTTCACGGGGAAGGAAAGTCTACTCAGAAAAACATACGATGTCAGTTCCTTGTTGGTACAGATGGTGCTGGAAGTACAGTCAGAAAGTTAATGGGAATAGATATGAAAGGGGAAAAAGACTTGCAGAAACTTATCAGCGTCCACTTTATTAGCCAAGAATTGGGGCAGTACCTCATCAATGAGAGACCAGGCATGCTGTTTTTCATTTTTAATGAAAAAGCTATAGGTGTCCTTGTTGCCCATGATCTCAGGGAAGGGGAATTTGTCTTGCAAGTATGCATCGAAATGGAATCGTTTTGACATTTCTGATTTCTTTACAGTGCATAAGAAAACTCACACTACTTTTGGTTGAAATTTGTAGATACCATTTTATCCACCTCAACAAAGGCTTGAGGACTTCAGCTCAAAGGTATACCTCTCTGCAGCTCTGCTTGCTGAGAAGTTTTGTATGCATGAACATGTTAACACAACATGATGTTTGGTTTCTTTCCATATCTTGCTGCACTCTATGAAGTTTTTAGGGATACTTTGTAACCTTGTTTCTATGATCATAATGCTACAGATATTTGAAATAATTTGTAAGTTGGTTGGGCAAGAACTTGCAGACATCAATGTGGTAGACATAAAGCCCTGGGTAATGCATGCTGAAGTTGCTGAGAATTTTCTGTCATGCGGCAACAGAGTTATTCTTGCTGGTGATGCTGCACACCGTTTCCCCCCCTGCCGGAGGGTTTGGTAGGTAATTACTCTCATGTATCCATTAGTTTGTTTAATTTTAGGTGGTTGTATTGTGTGCTGTCCTTTTAAATCAATTATACACAGAATACCCTCTCGACCAGTCAAATCTAGCAAGTCTGAAGCTATTTAGGCTATGAAGGTTATGGATGACTTAAATTGGCTTTCTTTAACTTATTTGGAACCTTTGTTTTTTCAGATTCCTAGTCTCTGGACCGAATTAGCACTATGGCTTTTTGGTGCACATGCCCTCATTTAATGGTTTGTTTGGTTGGAGAGAAGGAATTTATAGGGTAATAGAAGTTTATTCTTTAGGAGTAGAATGTGAGAAATATCACAGATTCATATTCCATTCCGTTTTTGGTTTCATTTCAAGGAATAAATTTTACAGACCAAAATGCCCGTACTTTTAATAAACATACACTAATTTGCTTTGTCAATGACCGATTTGTGAGCAGACATTTTTTTAATCTAGAATGCCGCCTTTTGCTTCTCAAAGTACGGGAAACCCCAACAGCATGGGGGAGCTAGGGAAGAATCACTCTTCAACTTTATGAAGAAAAATCTTCGAATAAAAATCATTCCTCAATTTGCTTTGTCAATTAAATGTTGGAGTATTGCGTTTTTGGGAATAAAAAAAGGAACATGAGATTCTCCCTTTAACCAAACAAGATGTTAGAGGAAAAATACCTAGTGACTTTAGCCATCTGCATAATGGGAATGATCTCCAATGAACATATACCTGAAGCCATCAGCTAAAATGCTAATGACACTATATTTGTGCCCAGATTAACTATAGCTATACATACAAGAATGCAACAACTAATTCGTAATTTCGTATGGGCTGAGACGTAAGCTTTACTGACTTACTGTTGATATGAATATAATCATATATGATGATTGATGAAATGGTACTATTGTAAGATTCTTTCTGCCATTTCAGGGATGAACACTGGTATTCAAGATGCCCATAATATTGCATGGAAATTAGCGTTAGTTTGCAAGGGTATTGCACCTGCATCATTTCTTTCCACATATGAAGTAGAACGTAGACAGGTATTTGCCTTTTCTAGATTATCAGTTCTTCAAATCCCCTAAACCCCACGCCCACCCCCTGAAATGTGGCATGTCTAGTTACCATTCTGTTGCATCATAACTTTGGCTTGCAGTTTTCATATACTAATACCTGAAATTGTTAGATTGCCAGTTTTAATACGTCACTCAGCGTCCAAAACTTCAAAGCAGCAATGAGAGTTCCTGCTGCACTTGGTCTTGATCCAACCATTGCAAATGCAGGTAAAATGTGTGCTTCAAGTTCCATATACTATCTACATGTATGCTAATGTACTCTATAATATAGTCATACCAATAATGAGGTATCAACTTCCTTGCAGTACATCAAGCTCTTAATAACACTGTTGGTTCCATATTACCCTCTGGACTGCAAAAGACTATCTTAGATGGAATTTTCAGCATAGGCCGTGCACAGCTTTCTAATCATGTTTTAAATCCGAATAATCCGCTTGGATCTGCTAGACTTAAGAAACTAAAAGAAATATTTGAGGAGGGACAGAGCCTTCAGCTCCAGTTCCCTGCTGAGGATATTGGTTTCAGGTAGATGTATTGAAAAATGTTTACATTGAATTGATATTGTGCTCTTATCAAGTTGGTTCTGTTAACCGATATGTTTTTATCCATCGATTCCTAATCCAAACATCTTCTGATGCATGTAGTTTTTGACTAGTTTCTCAGGAAAGCTATTTTTATTTTTTATGGTTAACTGAACTTTCTGCTCTTACAGTTTCTCTAATTTGGAGTTATTTTTTGTATTAGGTATCTCAGAGGAGCATTGGTGTCTGATGGAGATAATGTGTTGACTAAACCCGAAACACCCACAGGGAGAAGAAAGGAATTTGTGCCCTCTGCAGATCCTGGATTCAGATTGCCACACATGAATGTGGCAGCATTATCAAATTCAAGTACCAAGGTATGGCTCTATTTCTTCATCTGCTGTTGCAGTAACTTATTATAATCATTGGGGTGGTTTAGCATGGTCCGATGGGTGATGTTGAAACTTTTATCATACGTTCTTCAATGTGGAAATTCAGGCTCTTCACTTTAGAATTTCCGCCACATCTACACATTTAGATGGAGTATATTTTGTGGTTGCTTTAAGTTGATAGCAAGAACATCATTTGCAGGTAACATTTTCTACATTGGACTTGGTATCAGCAGATAAGGTTGAGTTTCTTCTCATTATAGCACCGGTCGACACGTCCTACCATCTGGCTGTAGCGGCATTCCAGGTGGCCGAGGAATGTAAAGTTCCTCTGAAGGTATGCGTCATGTGGCCCGGAGAAACTACTGGGGGAGCAAAAGGCAGAACCAAAGCTGCATTGGTACCTTGGGAGAATTTCGTAGATGTTTTGGAAGTTAAGAATCCACGAAATCCATCGTCTTGGTGGGACATCTGCAAGATGACGGACAAGGGAGCTATTTTAGTGAGGCCTGATGAACACATTGCCTGGCGGGCAAAGTCTGAACTTGCTTGTGATGCCTCTGCCGCTGAGATGAGAAAGGCTTTTCATGCAATCCTTAAAGCTTAAGTGCTTAACATACCCGCCTCTCCATTTGCTACGTTAGGTCTCCGGTTTTATCTGTGATATTATGTTGGAATAATAATATTTGTGATGTCTACAGATTTGATTTTCAGTTTTCTCGCTTTCCTCTATTCGAGGCATCTTCTTTAATGTTATTGAAATAAAACTCGTTGATAAAATAAAATTACATCATTGTACATTGGGAAAACATTACTATAGTTAGTGAAATGTAAAAGTAGAACATGTAATAATGGTAAATATTATTCTGATTTTGTTTATTCAATTGAGTTTACTAATTATTTAATTAAAGGAGTTTCATGAAAAAGACGCACGGTAAATCAAGTAGGGATGATGATTGTGACTTATCTTATGGAAACTGCTTTGGTCAAAATGGGAAAACTACATTGATTGAGTAACGCATATGAGATGGTGAATAATTGTTTTATTTTTATGGGTAAGGGTGTGTTTACGGTTTTATACATGCTCTTTCTATTACCCGCCCATACTAGTTCCGTTTATTTTTAACCGCGAAAGCTATAGTGACGGAGGGTGACAGAAGATTTCCCATCAAAACTTTTCTATGACGGTTTTTCATCTTTTAAATACAGTATCTCTCGTCACAATTAAATATTTTTCTTGTAGTTATAATAACAAAAACGGCCACTTATTATGAAAATGCTACTACATATATAGCTAAATCTTATGCATTTGTGACACTACTATAGCTATCAGATTTCAATTTCAATGCACAAAAATGATTCATATATTTTACATTTTAAAACGATATTTTATTTGGGGATGGAGGTAACAATAGGGGTGGACCGGTTCGGGCCTGGGCCCGGCCGGGCCTCGGTTCAGAAAAAGGAGGCCCGAGCCCGAACCGGTGGTGGGCGGTTCCGGTTCCGGTTCCGGGCCAGAACCGGGCCGGGCCGGGCCGGGCCACCCGGAATGTTTTTTTTTTTCTTCTTCTCTTATTTAACCCCCTACCCCTCCCCCTCCACCCCAAACCACCTCAAATGGCCCAAAATACCTAATCCAACCCAAAACTTAAAAAAATTTCAAAAAAAAAAAAAAAAAATTAAATTCCGGCCCGAACCGGGCCCGGCCCGGCCGGGCCGGTTCACTAAACTAGAGGCCCGGGCCCGGACCGGTATACCACCGGGCCTGGAGGCCCGAACCGGAACCGAACCGGTTGACCGGGCCGGTCCGGGCCCGCACAGTAGCGGGCCGGTCCGGTTCCGGGCCGGTTGGCCCGGCCCGAGTCCATCCCTAGGTAACAAATGCACTTAAAAGTAGACATACTATACAAATAGGCTTGGACTCGGTTCGGGTCACCCGACCCGGCCCGGTACTGTGCGGGCCCGGCCTGGGAACCGGGTACCGGTTCTGGGTCTAAGCCCGGTTTGGGGTGGGTAATCGGGTCGGGTACGGGCTTAGGTAAATGAGAACCGGCCGGCCGGTTCCGGGCCCGGTTCAGGCCTTTCCATTTTTTTTTTGTTTTTTGTTGGTTTGGGGGCCTGGGGCTTTGGTTGGGTTTAAATGGGCTGGAATGGGTCTTTCAGATGGGTTTGTGGGGTGGGGGGTAGGGGATAAAAATAATCAAGAAAACAAAAAAAAATTATAACCGGACTCAATCCGGCCTGGTCCCGGACCGGCACCGGTCTGCTTCCGGGCCGGTCCCGGGCCTAACATAATTTTTTTTGGCCCGGCCGGGCCTAGGCCCGACCCGGGCCGGGAACCAGTTGAGTCCATGACTACATACAAATAAAGTACTCTGTACAAGTTATTAGGGAAATAGCCTTAAAAATGGAGTACTTTATTTGTATAGGTCTATCATGTTTTTTGCTAATAAGTCTATCATGTTTTTTGCTAAAAAAAGTCTATCATGTTTTAATTTCCTAAATTGTACTACGTCCCGTTGGAAGGTTCCATAACAAAACGACACAGTTATTCAGACAACAATTAAATAAAGTAATTCGAGTATATTTTGAGAAATAATTTAAATAGGTATATATTATAATGTAGTTAGTATTGATAACTTTGATGTTATAAATGTTTTATTTTTAATATTTAATGATTAATTTGTTAATTAAGATTGTTAATTGTTTCCTAAAATGAAAATGAAAACATTTATATGCGACAGCAAAAAAGGAAAGCGGGAACAAAAATATTCAGAGTAGTAATCATTGTAATGTTTTGGCTGATTTAAAACATGACTATTTTTCGAGCTTGACAACAATAACTTCTATTTAAAAACAAAAAATATGATCTTATTTTTGAATTCTCAAACATTTTTACTCCTATTTCGGGAATATTCTCAACTTATTATTATTTCAATTTATATGCGTAATTTTGTTCTTTTTTTGTCAAAACTTATATGTTCACGTGAGCATAACAACTGAATCTGCCATTGAGGGTTAGTCTTCGTTCTGCATTACCATTATTTTGTGTTTCTATTGACGAAATAAGCAGCAGTAATAGTACAAATTGGAGGGAAGCCCTATATCCTTCGGAGCCTATAGGCAATTCTACTATTATAATAAAGAAATTGTAGATTTTACTTCTTTAAGCTATAATGTATCCTAGCAATATGTGAAAAACATAAATACGTAAATACTTGACTTTCTTTAGTAATTATATTATACGTAGTATATTGGAATCTTAGAATTGAACAAAATTAACAATATGGTTTCTGAATAAAAAGTAATAACATACAATTATAACTTCAAAGAATTTCCAACACTTCATATCATTGCAAAGCAAAATTGATGACAGCTAACAATCAAATTTCCGAACTTATTATCTTCACTTATTAATACGGAGTATCGTTTATCCATTAGTTCCTTCTTGAATTGTTATTTTGTTGACCATAAATAGTTTTATAAAGTCATTAATTTTTAAATACTTTTCTCTACACTCTCGACATTTACCAGTAACTGTTGTATTCAGACTTGGACCCAATTTTTCAACGAAATTAAATTTTCTAATGGTTGTGTTTGTATCATCATGCAATAAACGTTTTGACTTTTTACATTCTTTTCATATATTTTTTGAGAAAACCTTTTCTATAAACTTTTATTGTTTATATATGTCTGTTATTTTTTTTTGTCTATGAATAGACACTTTCCACATATAAAAGTGTGTACACAGTAAAGTGTATACATTGAGAATTGTTGATTTTTTCACTGCAAAAAAGGATGGATGACTTTAGGGCTTGACTAAGCTTCTACTCCACTCACTTCACGTAACTAATGAATAAAGACTTTATTTTTTGATATTGGAACTATAAATAATATTACGAATCAACTTCTATTCATTTCAATATTAGATGTACTCGTGCTAACTTTTAGAAATCATAACTTTTAACTCATAATGAGTTACATACGACATAATATCAGTATAAAAGAACACGAGATTGACAAAGATTTTTTTCGCACGCATACTCGAAATTGGCAAGGATTTTGTAGGAATATGTAAAATTCGTGCAAAAGTCAGTTTAACATCAACTATTTGATACAGATTCATTTGTAGTGTAGATGCGAAATCAAAGATATTTTTCCTCTAGATTCTCTAATTTTCAGGGGGTTATGATGTTTTCTTTTGGACTGAAATTTGCTGGTCTGAGCTGGTCTGGTCTGAGCTGGTGTGATTTGGTTTGAACTGGTCTGGTCTGATCTGGTCTGGTAAACATTTAGTCTCTGTGTATTTTATATATAACTACGGAAGTCAAGTCTGGTGTGGTCTGATCTGGTCTCATCTGGTTTGGTCTGATCTGGTATGAGACTGAAAACAGTCCAAAAGAAATCATCCTCCGTCGATCACTCTGACCCTATTTATATGCGAGACCCAAGATATGTAAGTGTAAGTACAACTCAATGGTAAATATAGCCCGGATAAGAAAGGTTGTGGCCCAAGCTGAAATAAAAAAATACTCCCTCCGTCCTTTAAAACTTTGTCAACTTTCCCTTTTTAGATGTCCCGCTAACTTTGCCACTTTCCATTTTAAGTAAAGAATTTGTTGTTCCAATTAATTCTCTCTCCTCTGTTATAAACTCAACCACACAGTTTTTACTTTATTAATCCCCGTACCGGTCAAACTTGGCAAAGTTTTAAGGAACGGAGGTAGTAAAAGTATGATTGAGGGTATGATGAGAATAATGATCGACGGAGGATGATTTGAGATTAAGAATAGTGAAAGGAGATATAAATTATTGAGGGTATGATGAGAATAATGAAATAGTGTGCTTGAATGAAGATAAATCCAAAAAATGTAGTTGTAATGGTGTATTGTTTTTAAAATCATTGACGGTATAATGAGAAGATTTGGAAATGAGAAGATATTAATGTTACGGCTAAAAAAGGGAAAACGAGAAGATATGAATGTAATGGAGGGAGTACTTCCTAATTCCGTATAATGGAGATTGGAGATTGTTAGACTGAGACCCAAAACTGCAATGAGAAACAAAAGACTGAATATTTATTTAGAAATCAGATCCATAAAAATAAAAGAACTACGTTGCCCTATGTTCGCGGGATCCGGAGCCTCTGCAATACTTCAAAGCAAGGCACCGTGCCCGGCTCTCGGGAACCGCCCGATCAAAACTTGGACGGTCAGAGATTTCAACGCACAGAACCCGAAACCCTCTCTTCTCCATCGGACGGACCTCTGCGCGCAAGGCACTCTGCCGTGCGGCAGAGGATCTCGTTCCATGTTCGCGCATCATCCTCCAGATCAGTTTCACATAATTTCAGCTCGGTTCCACCTTTATAATTCCAAAATAAAAAACACTCTTTATTTAAAAATACATATTAATTGCAAAACAAAAATAAAAAACATACAACATAAATTAAAATAATTTCAACATAATACAAAAATGAAGAAACAAATATACTTCTAAACAATAAACACGAGAGAATTATTTGATCAATATTTCACATTGATCTATTAAAGATAAACAATTGTACCCAAATATTTCAGCTAATTAAATCATAAAACCAACAAATCAATATTTGATCTATTTTAATATAAGACGCTTATCATAAAAAAATATATCAGTATCTTAAAAAATCATAATAAGTGTAGTACAAAAGATTAGCATTCTAGAATTAGGAATTAAGAACTAAAGAAAATATTTTGTTACTACTTAGTATTCTTTTTTTTTGAGAGATTTATTATTTAATAGTTACGGAGTAATAAATAATACAGCATATAATATTAGATAGTGTTTTTTTTAGGAGAAAACCA